GCCATCAGGGAGTCTAGCCACTGTTTATCTGAAAAAGCCAAAGGGCATTCTCTTTCCCATTGGGCCCTGTAAGAAAATTCTGGCGTGGTAGTCTGGTTTCCCAGTACCGCATAGCCCAAAGACAAGGTATTGTTTTTAGTCAGCGCCGAATGGCACCTATCGTAAAGTGTAATTGTTTCTACGTCAATGGTGTGTGAAGTACTTATGGGTTGTGCTACCTTGTCCTTCATTATTCTTTTTAATTGAAGGTATGGAAAGATATAGGAGGGGGGTATTTTCAATGTACTTTGTAATTCCGGGAAGGGTTTTCTCTTCCCTTGGTAACATATGTCCTTAATGCGTTTAGCATTAATCCATTTAAGGATAGCCATGGAGAGATCGAGTGAAGAGCAGTTATAGGTGCCCATTGTGAGAACTGTTTATCAGTCTGTTGTGAGTGGCGGAGGGAATCCCACACTTGGATAGCATACTGGGTTAAGGGTAGGAGTTTGTATTTTTTGTCTCTCAGATGTTTGGGGGTCCACATGTGGTCTACCACAGAACCTCTGGGCCCATGTTGGTTTTCAAGGTCTACCCATTGTAAGGTCGATGGTGGAGCGTGCAGTTTTTATGCGTTTTCTATGATTGCGGCCCTATGATACCTCATGATGTTAGGGAATCCCATTCCACCTTTCTTGTCTGGGGATTGTAATAATGCTAATGGAATTCTTGTTTTGTTTTGTTTTTTGTCCCATATGAAGGATGATAGTAAATTTTGTATTTGCTTGCCTAGTGTGGGTGAGAGGGGTAAGGGCAGCATTCGAAAAACATATAGAAGCTTCGGAAGTACCATCATTTTTTAAAATATTAATTCTGCCCAACCATGACAACATAACATCTTTCCATTTATGTAGCGTATGTTTACACATCTGTGGTAAGGGGAAAAAATTGAGTGTGGTGATGCCTCGGTATGTGGCCACTATTTTTACTCCTAAGTAAGTGAGATGTGTCAGTCAAAAGAGAATTCGGTTTTCAGTTTAGATACCATTGAGGAGGATAGACGTATTGGTAAGGCTTGCGTCTTTGATTGGTTCAACTTGTAATAGGACACCTTACTATATTCCTCCGATACGTTGATGAGATTCGGTAAAGAACGTTTGGGTTGGGACATGGTGATCAGGACATCATCTGCAAACATTGACAGTGTGTTTTCTAAGGATTTGATATTAATCCCTGTTATATTGGGGAGGTGCCTAATTTTGTAAGCCAGAGGCTCGAGAGAGAGGACAAAAAGTAATGGTGATAGTGGACAGCCCTGGCGTGTACCATTTGTGATAGGGAAAGGGTTTGATACAAACCCCACGTTTGTGACTTTGAGGTACATCACAGGGAATCCAAACTTAATGAGTACCTGTTCCACGTAGTCCCTGTGTAGTCTATCGAAGGCCTTCTCCGCGTCCAGCGCTAGGAGAAGGCCTTCCATGTTGTGTGTTTCCATGTGTGCCAGGATATTTAATACTTTTCTAGTGTTATCTGATCCTTGTCTATTTATGACAAAACCTGGTTGGTCGTTGTGAAATATGCAGGCTATAATGTTTTTAGCCTGTCTGCTAAAATTTTGGCGTAGATTTTCATGTCACAGTTTAGGAGGGAAATTGGCCTAAAGTTCTGGCACTGCGTGGGTGGTTTACCTGGTTTAGGTAAGGTGGAGATGTAGGCTTGCAACATATCAGTGGGCATCGTACTTTTTGGAAAAGCATTGATTTAGTAGGGTTGTAAGGTGGGGGGTCAATATGTTAGAGAATGTCTGGTAGTAAAGGTTTGTGAAACCATCTGGTCCCGGGGATTTATGCTGGGGTAATTTGGTTATTGTGCGTTTCAATTCCTCTACTGTGAAAGGTTGTGTTATTGATTCTATTTATTTCTTCTTGCTTTAGAGTGGGGAGATTCACTCTGTCTAAAAATTGTGTGATATGTTCCTTAGACGGTGTGGGTGTCATAGGGTCGTTTTTGAGATTATATAAAGAGCTATAGTACTTCGCAAATTCTTCCACAATATCTTGTGGGTGCATAAGTTTGCTCTTGTTGGGGGAGAGTATATAGGCCACCCATGAGTTGGTCATGCGTGCTTTTAATTTAGACGCTTAAAGGGATCCTGCCTTATTCCTTTAGGCAAAGAATTTATGTTTATATCTTTGCAGGATATAGGTTGTTTTGTCTAATTCTAGTTCACGTAGTTGGGCTTGTAATGTTTTTAGTTGTTCATAGTGGCTTGCTGTCGGATTTAGTTTGTTAGCGTGGGTGAGTGTGGTTATCTGTTGAATTAGAGTGTTGTAAGTGTGTAGCCACTTCTTTTTCGCGAAGCTGGCATGTTTAATGAATAGTCCCCGTAGCACTGCCTTGTGGGCTTGCCAGATCATTTCTATGGGTGAGGCTGCCATAGTATTTTGTTGGAAATACGCTATAAACTCTGTCTTAATTTGTGTGATGATGTTAGGGTCGAGTATTAAAGATTAATTTAATCTCCAGGAGCCTGTGCCTTTGTTGGGGTTGGAGCCGTTAATATAATAGAGATAGGGGCATGGTCAGACCACGTTATTAGGCCTATTGTGGTGGATTGGACTTTAGGCATAATAGAGGAGTGTAATAGAAATCTATCTATCCGTGAGTAGGAATTATGAGCTTGTGATTGGAAGGTGAAATCTTTTTCGGAGGGTATAGTACCCTCCATACATCTAAGAAACTAGTGTTGTGGAGATGTTGTTGGATAGCTTTTGTCATGGTTATGCAATTCTTGGTCGTGGTCTGTGACATGTTTAAGGAGGAGGATGTATCCAAATTACTGTCTAAGATAAAGTTAGTGTCTCCCCCTATCACTACATTGCAAATTGTGTGTGAGTTGGCTAAGTTCAAAATTTTATCCAAGTATGTTGCTTGGTTCTCGTGTGGTCCATACACATTAATAAGTGTGTATGGTTCATTATTGATTAGGCATTGTACTAGGAGGAAATGTCCCTCTTTGTCACTTATTTTTTTTTCTGTAATGAGAAGGGCACATCTTTACTGATCAGTATTGATACTCCCCTCTTCTTTTTAGAGTATCCGGAGTGGTAGCCTATGGGGAATTGTTTGGATTTGAATTTAGTCAGGTTAGAGTTTAGGAAATGGGTTTCTTGGAAGGCGGCCACCGTAGCCTTAATTTTTTTTGGCTTCGTCAAGGACGAGCCTTCGTTTATGCAGAGAATTCAAACCCTTCACATTAAGCGATATTATAGTTAGGGCCATGGGTATATTTTAAGTGTGTCTGCATTCGTATGATGCAGATCGTCTTGGTGCAGCAGAGGCTCTTAGTGATGGATTTTGTCTGGTTTGTTTAGCCATTAGTTGAAGTAGGGTATGTCATGATATTGTGTATTGTGAAACATAAGGGGGTGGAGGTGGAGTAGTGAGCAAGGGTGTTTGTCAGACAAGGGTCATCTGACATGAACCAAACTTTTGACGGCTCTGTGAAGTCAAAACATGGGGGAGGGTGGTTGAGTTGCTATACACATGCCTACCTGTCTGTTGGGTAAATGGAGGCTAGGAGTAAGCCCTCATGAAACATGTGTAAATTAGCTCATCGTTATAACATACCTAGCGGAAGTGACCCTTTCCTAAGGGTGACTTACAGTATTAAAGACATGAACCTTTTTTTTTTTTTTCAATTGACAATTTTTTATTTTGTCATACATCAAAAAGAAAGATGGGGATACAGAACGAGGAAAAGAGGGGGGGGGAATACACTGCAGGCTGACTACACAGACAGTAGCTATGTGTAATCATATACATATGTGTACATCATGGATAAACATCTGTATACATGCGCATCTGGTTTTCATTGGTTCCAGAGATTTATTGTTACTGTACAGAAATTTCCTTTTTACAAATACATGGTGTTTTGATGATCAGTTCCCTCTTGTCGGTTATGGTCATATTTAGGTCATCTAGGTGTGTGCAGTTGTCATATTTATTTCTAAGAGTCTCTGTGAGATTTCTTTGTGTGTGGATTGGTAATGTTAGCTATGTAGGTTCCAGGCTGTTTTTTGTTTTTTGTTTTCGTTCTCTTATGTGCTGCGTCTTTGCCTGTTGGCGCTCTGCGTGGCACCTCTTAATCTATGATTCAAGAGTCGTTAGTCTCGCTAGAGTGGTTGTGGTTGGGTGTTGTGGTGAGTGGACTTGTAATATGTTTTACCCACAGGTTGTGTGCCTCCTGTATCACTTTTCGTGTTTCAAATTGTGTGTTGGCCATTTTTTCGTACGCCCAATTTTGGTCTACCTGCTATACAAGATCCTCTATAGGTGGGGTCATTGTTTTTTTTCCAATGTCTGGATATCACTAAGTTGGCTGAAATTAATGTGTGGTATATTATCAGCTTGATTTGTTTTGGTATTTTTTTCTGGTAAGATGAACAAGAGACACACCTGTGGTTCATCTACTCTTGTGGCTGGTAGTATCTTCTGCAGTATATTTGCTACCTCTTCCCAAAACGGTCTGAGTATAGTGCATGTCCACCAGACGTGTATCATTGTATCCACTTCCCTCCTGCACCTCCAGCATATATTGCTGGTTGTAGGCCATATTTTGTGCAATTTGTCCGGTACTAAATACCAGCGGTATAGGATTTTGCGCTGTAGTTCCAGGTGTGTGGCACATGCTGTAAGCCCCTTGTGGGCCGTGTATGCTCTCTCCCAGTCCCTGTCTGTTATTATTCTATCTATATCCTGTTGCCATGACATTTTTATCTCTCCTAGTGTATGTGATTGTTGCGCTATTAATTTCTGGTATCCCAAGGACATTATTTTCTTGAGTGGTGGTATTCCCGTGCATTGGTTTTCAAATTCTGTCATGTGTGTCTTTGCGGTGACATCCGTTTGTTTCCCTAATTTGTCTAACACGTAAGATTTGAGCTCGAGGTAGGAGAATATTGCTTTAGTGGGAAGGATTTACTTGTCCTGAATGTCGGGGAACGGTAGTATGCAACCCCTGTCTATCATTTGGTACATGTGGTGTACACCTCCCTTCACCCATATTTCCCAAGGGAAGGTAGGGATCTCCAGTCCAATAGTGCGCATTGGCATGGCTAGGGGTAACGTCGGTTTTGACACTAATTCGCGTTTCATTGTGTTCCATACTCGCAGTAGGGTTTGGGTAGTTGGTAGGAGGGCGTCTAGTTCACGGTTATTTTTCGTCTGTTTCCACATGAGTGACCGGAAATCACCATGTGGTGCTTTGCTGGCTTCAATCGTCACCCATTGTGGGACGTCGGTAAGCCTGTTGATTTGAGTGATGTTATGTAGGTATGCTGCCCTGTGGTATGCGGTTAGGTTGGGTAGGCCTAATCCTCCAGTCTTGACTGATCGATGTAATGTCCCTGCTGCTACTCTTGCCTTTTTCCCCTCCCATATGAATGAGCTAATGGTATGTTGCATGTTTTTTAGGAATTGTTTTGTTATTGGTATTTGGAGCGTATGGAAAAGATACTGTATCTTAGGGGTGAGTGTCATTTTGACTGCCGCTATGCGACCTAGCCATGACCGGTATCTACCCCTACATGTGTGCAAGGTGTCTGAAAATTCTTTCAACATTCGGGTGTAAATGTGTCGGAACAAGTGAGCTGGGTTTTTGGTTATTTTGATCCCCAAGAATGTTAGATGGTCGTGTCTCCAGTCTAGGGGGAATGCCCGTTCCAGTTTGTTTGCGAGATTGTCCCTTAATTTTATTCCTAGGGCCTGGGTTTTCATGACGTTTAGCTTGTAGTATGGCACTGCCCCGTACTCTCTGATTCTAGTCATCAGCTTTGGTAGGGAGATTATGGGGTGTGTTAGTGTTACTAGGATATCATCCGCGAACAAGTTAAGCTTGTATTCGTTATCTCTCCTTGTGTGTCTGTATCAGCTCTAATGACAGCTGCCAGGGGTTCCAGCCCCAGAAAATAGAGTAGCGGTGATAGGGGGCACCCCTGTTGCGATCCATTGGTGATGTGTATTTGGATACAAACCCAGAGTTTAGGACTTTGGCTGTGGGGTGAGAGTAGAGTGCTTGTACAGCATTTATAAAGGTTGGGGGGAACCTATATTTACCAAGCACTGCCTGCAGAAAAGGCCAGTTGAGCCTGTCAAAAGCCTTCTCTGCATCCAATGATAGAAGTATCCCCCCCCTCTCCTTTTCCGATCAGGCTGTACAACAGGTCAATTACCTTCCTGGTGTTGTCCGAACCCTGTCTGCCTTTTGTAAAGCCCACCTGATCATCATGAATTAGTGTCGGGATTATGTTGGCTATTCTGTTGGCTTTTATTTTTGCGTAAAGTTTAATGTCCATGTTAAGTAGTGAGATTGGTCTGAAGTTTTGGCTACATGTGGTTGGTTTCCCTGGTTTAGGCAGCGTAACTATGTGCACACCCAACATCTCTGCCGGCGCGTCCGCTTTGAGAGTGATTGCATTGAATAAGTTTAAGTGTGGGGCTAGGGTGTGTGCAAATTTTTTGTAATAATTGTTGGTGAACCCGTCTGGGCCTGGGGCTTTCCCGCTTGGTAGGTGGGATATGGCCTGGAGCACTTCTTCTACTGTGATATTGTCTTGTATCATAGCTATTTGTTCCTCCGTCAGTGATGGTAGGGAGACCCCAGCGAGGTACTTCGCTATTCTGTCCATAGTTGGTTGGCTTGTGTCAGCATCTTTACCCAGATTGTATAGAGATGAGTAGTAATCCGCAAAGACATCTCCAATGTCCTTGGGTGTCACCTTCTTTTCCCCTGTGTGATTTTGTATGAATGGGATCTTAGTGTTCGCGCTTCTGTGTGACAGTCTCCTGGCTAGTAATTTGCTTGCCCTATTGCCCTGTACGTATTGTGTGGTCCTAAGTTTTCTAAGGTGATACCCTGTTTTTGCCAGATCTTGTTCTTTGATTTCCCCTAATTTCTCCTGAATTTGTCGTTTAAGATCAGAAGTTGGGGCCAGCTGGTTTTTGTTTAAGATTATACAGTGATTTTTAGCCAGTGCTTCATTTTAGTTTGGGTCTCACGTTTTAGTGCGCTCGCTCTACCTATAAGGGATCCTCTAATAACCGGTTTGTGTGCCTGCCATAGGGTCTCCGGTGTTATTCCAGGTGTTTGGTTATCGGCAAAGTATCTGTGCATGTTGGTGTTGAGGTTTTCACAAAATTGGGAGTCATGCAAGAGGGTCTCATTCAGTCTCCAGGGGCTCCTGTGTTTATAGTTGTATGCATCTAGTAGTTCGAGAGTAACTGGGGCGTGGTCAGACCATGTGATGGTGCCTATCGAGCATGCTATTAGTTGGTTAAGGAATGTTCCCTTTATGTAGAACCCGTCTATCTGGGAATAGGTATTGTGGACCTGGGAGAAGACTGTATAGTCCCTTTCTTCCGGGTGTAATACCCTCCATGCGTCATATAGGTCATGTTCGCTAAGTAGGCGAACCAAGGGTTTGCATTCTCGTGTGAGGGTTGTTTCTGGATGTGTTTGGTCTTACTGTTGAGTCTCTTTTGGGGTCTAGTATGTGGTTCAAGTCCCCACATATGATCGTGATGCCCCTCTGGACTTGCGCAAGGCGCGTTATGATTTTGTGCAAGAAGTTTCTCTGATTGGCATTTGGTGCATAAATATTTACCTTCGTGTGCTCTAAATTGTTAATTTCGCACGCCAGTATTATAAACCTCCCCTGTATATCCGTGTCTTCGTACAAGGGCTTAAAGGATACCTCCTTGCTGATCAATATAGATACCCCTTTAGTTTTAGATGTCGCTGTGTTGTGGTATTGTGCTTGTGCTAGCTTGGACGCCTGCTTAAGGTGCGTTTCTTGTAGGCACACTATGTCCGGACGTGTTTTGCGCAGATCTCTAGTTAGACAGTATCTCTTTACTGGGGTGTTCAACCCCATAACATTGTGGCTATATATTTTCATATTTTAATGAGTAGTTTTTAGAGGTATTGGGTGTTTCTGTCAGTGTATATGTCACCGTGGTGGTATACGGTCCCTCCCAGGGGTCCATGTATATGTTGCCTCCGTGGTTCCCTCTGCGGGGCTCTGCAATGCCTGGGGTTGGGTTCAGGATGGTAGGGGGTAGGACTAAGGAGTTAGCTATAAAAACATCGTACATAACATTCGAATAGAACAAAACAAAAGTGTATACAGAAACAAACATTTTAGTATACATTTCCCACCGAAGGGTGTTGCACTACCGTGATAGTGCAAGGTGTGAGCATGGTTACTTTGTCGACTTCTAAGGTGTGGTGTAGTTGGTTGCACCTGAAGTGCCCGAATCTTTCCTTCGGTATTCTCATGTGTGTTGTGTTGGTTGCGCTGTGTGTTTACCGGCTATTGCTGTAGCGTGTAGTATGCTGGTTTATTTTACTTTTTTTTTTTTTTGTGTTTTGGTGTGTTTGTGGTTCATATGCTCCTGTGCTCGTCAAGCCTTGTTGGCTTTTTTTTTTTTTGGGTGTGTGTCGTGTGTGGCCCTGGGTATTTATAGTTAAACATGTAGTGCTAGGAATACTTGCGCCTCGCTGTCTGCCAGACGTCAGGCTCTGCCCCGGTGTCATCAGCAGAAGGAAAATTGTCTCTGTGTGTGTTCCTTTTTTTTTTCGTTCTTTTTCCATTCTGGGGGCATTCTTTGCGCTGTAGTCGCGTCTTTCCTCTCCGGATTCGGCAGAACGTTCCAGCTGCGCAGCAGTTTGCGGCCTTCTTCCGGAGTGTTCACCGTGGTCACCGTACCATTTCTTCTAATTAGAAGGCGGATAGGGAATCCCCATCTGTACTGTATATTGTTGTAGCGGAGGGTTTCTGTCGTTTCCCTAAATTCCTTTCTTCTCTGCAATGTGGCTGCTGAGAGGTCAGTGAACATTTTGATGTTCTTGTTATTTGTGGTGGTTCTCCGCCTGTTCTTGTTGCTTGGAGTAGTGCTTCCTTAGCATGAAAGTAGTGTAGATGGGTTAGTACATCACTGGGGGTGTCTTGTGGTAACCCCATTTGTATAGAATGTCCGCATCCTGTAGAGCTTGCATCAGAAGTTTCATTTCTTTGCGCTTTGCTAGAGTTGCTGCTGAGAGGTCAATGAATAGTTTCACCCCAGCAAATTCAGTTTGGATATTATCAGCGTTTCGTGCTGCCCGCATAATGGCTTCCTTCAATGTAAAATAATGAACTCAAGTGAGTACATCCTATGGTGTGGATGAGTCCAGAAATCCACGGTAAGTGGTGTATGCGGTCAAGGCGTAGGTCGGCATCAGTGAGGCCTGGGCATAAGGCCTTGAACAGGCCCAGAGCATAATCATAAAATTCTGAAGGCTTAATTTCTTCCGCAAGCCCTCTGAGGCTTGTATTATTTCGCCTGTCACGGTCTTCATGATCTGCTACTTTGGCAGTTAAGAGGGTCAGGCTTGAGTCCAATGATTCAAATGCCTCAGTTAGGTTGTTGTGGGCCTCGATAATTTCCTCAGTTTTGTCCTCAAGTACAGAAGTTCGCTCACTTATTTCTTTTATATCAGCGCGGATGTTCTTTGCTAATTTGGCGAACTCAGCTTGCAGTGTGTTCTGTAAGTTTTGTAGCATCCTTTGCATGGCATCTTCTGATGCTGAAGCAGCGTTTGTTGCTGAGAAGCATGTGTTACCACTCCGATCCGAGCTGGCCGCGGGAGAGTTGGGGCCGTCGGTGCCATTTTGTGTGTGTCTCCATGGCGGTGTTAGGGAGGAGATTTGTAGTTCTGTTTGCCTCATTTTCGCTCTCTTTGGGCCTCGTTGGGACATGGTGACTTGAGTCTGTTTGGGGTATTATTGTCTCGCAGGTAGGTTAGTGAAATCTCTTCTAATTGCTGTATGTAGTCTCACCCTCAGAGGAGCTGACGGCTCATGCGTCCGAGTCCATGAGCTGCCAGGACACGCCCAGGGATAACATTTTAAGAAGAGCACCATTGCATTGTGAGGCCACTTTATAGCATTAAGAGCATGCAATCAAAAAACAAAGCTGTGATCATGATATAGCAAAACTGCAAGTCTTGTCTAGTTAGTTCTATGCAAGGCTGACATTGGTGAGAGCATGGTTGGTCGACCTATGCGATGATTCTCTTAAACGCTCATACCTTTACTGCCATCATATGTTTTGTTTTTTAACAGGGCAATACATGTGGCTAAATGCTTGCTTGATCACTCCATCATAGAATATGTCAGTTGTACATTTAAAAGGCAGATATAATGTAGGTCAGCAATACCACATCTCTAAAGCATCTGTAGAACTGGCAAATAAGGCTTTGAATTCCCCTTTAATTTTGGATGAGCTGAGTCAAACTCTCAATACTTTCAAAACAGCACCTGGTGGTTTCATACAATATTTTAATACATTACTGTAGAGAGATTTGCAGAGGCCATA